TCGAAGGTGTTGCTTCGCCGGGCAAATGGTCGCACAATTAGTGCGGTGCTAATTCTACCTCGGGAGCTAGCATCAGCCTCGGCACATGTTATGCGAGGCAGCAACATCCGCGCAACGCAACCAGCATGAATGCGCATAGAAAATGCACGGAAGGCTACGGCGGTCAAATTGGTGCGGAACCCTAAACGCCTGCAGAACAACGCCTGAGTTGTGCGTCAGCGAAATAGCTCGCGAAATTGATCCCGGAATCTGGAGGGGAAACTGGAACGCGACAATTACGAATCGATCGGTGATTGACACATGAAACGGAAAAGCGAAAGTGAGACATCTGCGAAATCGATTTGCGAAATTGAATGCTAATACCTGAGCTGCCAGACGAATGACGCGAGCCACCTGAGCCCGTCAATATTCACGAAAACGCACGTGTTCGCCGGAATCGCACGTACAACCAGATGGCATTGGTGGTTTGAGTGACATGTCGCCTCCCCAAACCTGCAATATACAAACAGGATACACGTCAGACGCGCCACTGAGCAATCTTGCGTGTGCTAAAACGAAAGCATAGCACACCACGAAATAAGACTCGGATACGAGGGGGAAAAGCACATGCATTAAAATTTACCTGATATTCACAAATCGCCATCGCGCACTCGGTCATCACAGAAATCGCCGAAGGCCTCAGCACCAGTAATGGTAGGTACATCATTTTCGCTTCCAGGCTTCCACACCCGATTTTCTCCTCCCGTAAACGATGCTCCCGTAAAAGCCATATATGAATGGCAGAATGCCTACGCCCTCGCAGCAGCTCTACGAAAACGAGCTGAATGTGTTGAGAACGAGCATCGTTAGCGGCTGTCCTTTCTCCAGATCTAAATGGCAGAATGCCTAAGCTTGTGTTGAGAACGAACATCGCTAGCAGCTCTCCTTTCCGCAGTCGCAGCAGCTCTAAGACAGCGAGGAGAAGAAGCCTGAGCGTGAGAAAATGAGAAAACGAGAGCAAGAGGCGAAAGCGGTGTGAAATCCGAGGCTCAGGCGAGAATGAGGCGAGAGACGACGGTGACGCTGGAATGAGGCGGAGGGGTCACCAACTGCCTCTCCTCTCCTTTCCTCACAGCAACCCTCTTCAGATCTACCGTCCAGAATCACTGGATTGTCTGAAACTCTCTTGATAACTCAGATCTCAGCCGTAGGTTCGTACCATTTGCGTGTTTCATCAAGGCAAACCTAGCAAGCTCTGCATTGGTCCACAGGCTAACCGGCTGTGTTGGGTCGCGAGGAAAAGTGACGGTGGGCGAATGGTTGGTCCGGTCAGGCTTATTTTATGTCCATGACAGAGAGATTCGAGGGTGCACGGCGGTGGCTGGCTGAGAATCGTCCGCGTGTCACATGAATCCCTTGCCGGTCAGGGAAGGAAAAGAAAATTTGCCAAGTTTACGCTGTTCGCTTGTCCCCTCTTTCACCATAGCGACTACGCAAGACAAACGAACCCGACTTTTTTCCAGCGAGATTCCGTTGACAAAGGCGGGAGTAGCGGGATTTCGCTGGTGAACGTTGGACCCCGCGACCTAGGAACCGTCGATTGTCGCCCGATCTGGAGTCGCAGAATCGTCGTATCAGTTTGGAACGCAGCAAACCCAATGGTTTAAATTCGAAGCTCTCGTTCCTACCACAAGGAACGAAGTGATTCCCAGCCGTGGATAAAGAATCTAGGCAAGCAGCTGCGGTTGAGATCTGGAGGTTGAACTGATCCACTCTCTGACGCTGGCCTGCGGATGGGGAAGGTTTGGGCAAAATGGGTGAGTATGGCGAAAGGTCTCCGCTTCGCATATTTGTTGTTACTCGTCGTTGATTTGGCCTAGGAACTGATTTTCTGACACCTGCTGGCTCCACATTCGTATTTGAAATAACCGGAAGCGGTGCAGAGCAAATACACTACGCCATTGTATAATCATAACTAACAAAATTGGAAAGAGCATTTCTACCAACTAATGAATACACGTCTGCTTATCATGCTGATTATCATAGCCTCTTGACACTGGCAAATATTCATATTGAATTCAGTATTATAACATGCCTCAGTTTTCTTTTCTTGATGGATGAGTGCAACATCATGTTGGATTGTGTGTTATGAGAAACAGCCTTGACTGCGTTACAGGCCCAGCAGTTTTACCAGCTATCGCTCACATCGCGACCATCACTAAAGAATCGCGGCCGTCAGATCTGTGTCTAGTGACGGTGCGAGCCTATTTCGCGGTTCACCGGACCCTCACGAAACTCGTCTGGGAAAAAGTGGAACCCGATTGGTCTATTTGGTTAGAGTAACCGTTGGCGGGATGGAAACCCAGGGAGCAGATTCGCTGGGCAGGGAGGAGGTGAAAGTAGGAAGCGGCAAGCTCTAGGTCTTGGCATCAGGTGACAGACACACGCAGTCATAGGCAGGCAAATGGATACAGACACTGAGGTTGAAGAGAACGAGGATTTGAGATTTGTCGTGTGCTTGAGTGTGTGAGCGGGGATTCAGAGCTTGCCTTTCAGAACTAAGCTGGCCTGATCAGTTCTCCCTATCGAATCAGGGTGCAGACTCATATTTAAGAGGCAATAGGTCGGAATGGAAGAAGTAGCGGTTATTGCTGACGCGGCAGGACCTTCCAAATTCTCCCTCCTACTCCCCTCTCACCAAGGATTTATGATGATCTTCCAAAACCGGCCATTGATCGTCGCGTTTATCTCGCTCTGGGTCGCCCAATTCCTCAAGCCTTTTACATTATGGTAGGGGTACCATATGAACATCTCTCGTCGCAATCGCGTCGACGATCGTTTAAAACTGAAGTTTTTTTCGTTTCCTCGTTACTGCTAATAAAGTGGTTAACGTCGCCGTCCAACGGCGTCGCGTTCTATATATCTCGTTACACTGGCTCACTTATGATTAGAGCGCGAATGCGTCAACCCGCGTTCGTTGCTGACATTCCTAAGCCAAGTGTGGATCAGCTCGTTTTCGTTCGTGGCTTTTGAGAAATCTGCTTATGACGTACACCCATTAGGTACACCCATTAGGATTGAGGCACAGTTTTTCGCAAACTCGGCTACGCTCCTTGCTCCATTTCAACCGTGAGCAGGCACTGGGAGAAGCGATGGGATTTTAAGCGAATCTTAGGATCCGGCGGCATGCCCTCATCGCATTCGTCGTCCGTCATGGGTCTGGCGTGCGCTGTCGCCTTCCAAGAAGGCACGGCCAGCCCGTTGTTCGCCGCGTGCCTCGTTTTCGCCGTCGTGGTATGTTTCCTGAAAACTTCCTTATCTCCTGTTACTTTCACGTGCCGAGCGTCTCCATGACTGGTCATTCAAGCCTTTTGTTACCCCTTTGTTGGTACGGGAGCTTAGTGCGAAACGCTAGATCGTTTCAGGTCGAAATTGCTCGCTGACTGCCATTCTCGGATGTTCTTCGCGCATTGCACAGGTCATGTATGACGCCTCAGGGGTTCGGCTTCAGGCAGGCCGGCAAGCAGAGGTACGTGAAATTCCCACGTGAATCTAAACAGCTCGAGACAAGCAACAGTTTTTATGCGAAGCACATACAGTGGGAATTGTGAAGTATGGAAATGCCGTGGCTTTGACTGGGTCTTGTAAGGTCATGCCGCTGCTCATTTGATCCAGCAAGATCATTGCTTCCGTACGCACTTCAGTAGTCTGGGATGATATGATCGTCATCCTGCATCACGGTGGTCCCTTCACTTACTGGTACCCAATCCACATCGTCTCACACTCTCCTCGTCTTACCCACGCAATTGCTCATCCATAATCAAGCCATTTCTGTATCAAACATCATCGCTGATGAAACCATAAAACTCTCGCCTTTCATTCTGCTACTATTTGCCCGCCTCACAGGTCCTAAACCAGATCGTGTATGAGCTGCCACCAGACCATCCCTTGGCTGAGTCTCGGCCTCTCAAGGAACCCATTGGACACACACAACCTCAGGTAGGCACTCGGTTATCACTCTCTACCACAGCCATAAGTGCTGTTACCACACTCCGCCGCAGGGTTATGCACAGTTTACGAACTTCATCACATGTATGACTGCAAAATGGTAGAGACACAAATCATTAAGGCTACAGCATTGCAAATCATTGGGTAATCATCAACGGTCGCCAGGTAGGTATGAATTGCATAGCGACGCAGCAAGTCATCAATACATTGCATGGCAGCACCAGGCATGTACACACTACAAGCCTTCAGGTACCACGTGCTCATACTGTATGACCGTTAGGTTGTTACATTGTAGCCATAGCGTTTTTTATATCCTCTGTCATCCCTTGCACAATGCTGTGGCAGGTGGTGGCAGGAGCACTTGTGGGGGTTTTCGTGGCATACTTTATGCACCATTTCTATCCAACAGCCACTGCAGTAATGCATCCTTAAATTAGGAGTAGATTGTACTGGAGATACTTGAAGTGATTATAGTTATAGTTGGACACATTGGGCCAAACGGTAGAGCTCTTCGCAAATCCATGATCCTGCAATGGCCACCATGAAACGTTCTGAAGGTCACTGGATCGAGGAAACACTCATGTATGGACAAGTGTCTCAATTCCTTCGTTCCCTGAGACTTGGGTGCATCTCTTTGTTGAAGAGAGGGGATGTAGCACAGAGGGACAGAAGGGGATGCAAACTCCAGAACTGTCTAGGTCAAGGAATGGCAAAAAGGCCTAAGAGTGGGATTTGAACCCAGCGCCTTAGACCATCTCGGCCATCTCGACGTCCAGCTTTCAAATTAGACTTTTAAGTACCAAGAACAGAAATTCCCTGGCGAATAATCGCTAGGTCCATTCCGATTCGCTGTAGTCATCTCCGATGTGGAAGCGCCTGGCAGAAGCCGCATCTGCGGCATCGCGACGAGGTACGCTGCCATCCGCGCCTAACGACTCCCCGTTTTCCGCGCTTGACCTTCACGCCCCGCAGAAAGCCCAATCCCCCAAATAACCCCCTTCGTGAGTCCCTGTTCATCGCTCTCCACCCCTCTCCACCCTGCCGTCCCTGCCGGCGCCCAGCGGTGGCATGGCGGGTGGAGGAGCTGCAGCCGCCCAGCGAGCGCGTGCTGTTCCACTTCGCGAGGGCGGGCGCGCGGGGCGAGCAGGGCGCGCGGGGAGAAGAGGGCGCTCAGGGCGGCGCGCAGGGCGCGATGGACGCGTGGCGCGTGTATTCCGACGCCATATATGGCGGTGAGACGGTGTGCGCCTGGGTGCTGCGAGGTTCTGTGAGGTGCTGTGAGGTTCTGGGTGTGTTGCTATGTGTATACCTTTCCTCCCCACCCTCACCTTCTTACCAGCCCCAGACCCCCAAGTCCCTCTGTCCTTCTCTCCCCCACCCCTCAACTTCCCAACCTGCCGCCCCTCAGGTTCGTCAACCGCCACCCTCGCCCATGCCACGTCCGGCAGCGCCGAGCCTGCAGGGTCGGGCACGGAGCTTTCGGGCATGGGCGGGAATCAGAGGCGTGGAGACATGTTGGGCAGAGATGGAATGGATGGCAGCGCAGGGATGGTGCACCCACCCCACCCACCCACCCAGCATGGCTGGGAAGCACGAGCTATGCGCCGGCAGCAGCACCATCACTTTGAAACTCCCTTCTCCTTTGGTGAGTTCCTTTCCCCGTCTCCCGCCTTCTTCCCTCTCTCCTCTCCCTCTCTTCTCCCTCTCCTCTCCCTCTCTTCTCCCTCTCTTCTCCCTCTCCTCTCCCTCTCTTCTCCCTCTCTTCTCCCTCACTCCCTTCTCACCTCGCTGCCTTGCCCCAACTTTCTCCTTCCGCACGCGCCTTTTCCTCCCTCCCTCTGGCAGCAGCAATATCGGCATGCTTACACAAAACCCTCTTTTCTCGGGATTTCAAGGCTGTCAGGGTTCCAATGTGCTCATCTGCCCCGTGTGCCCCGTGTGCCCCATGTGCCCCATGTGCCCCATGTGCCCCATGTGCCCCATGTGCCGCTCCCCTGCCTCCACAGCCGTGTTCGCAGGCAGCTTGTCCCGACGCGTGCAGGGGGAGGAGCAGGGCGAGGGTGTGGAAGGGCGGGGAGGGCGGCTGCTCAAGGGTGGCTTCGCTGGCATTCGAACGATCGAGGTGAGTGTCACATGTGGATGGTACGTAAAGGGGACAGAGGGTGTGGGCCTGTGGGGAGGGCAGGGAGGGCGGCTGTGGTGGGCCATTCGGTTCAGACGAACCATTGAGCCGCGTTTTGAAGGGGAATCCGAATTAAGGTAGAAGAAAAAGGCTCACCTGCAACCCACCCACCCACCCACTCGCTTGCGTTGCCCACCACTGCCTCCGCCCACCACTGCCTCCGCCCACCACTGCCTCCGCCCACCACTGCCTCCGCCCACCACTGCCTCCGCCCACCACTGCCTCCGCCCACCACTGCCTCCGCCCACCACTGCCTCCGCCCACCACTGCCTCCGCCCACCACTGCCTCCGCCCACCACTGCCTCCGCCCACCACTGCCTCCGCCCACCACTGCCTCCGCCCACCACTGCCTCCGCCCACCACTGCCTCCGCCCACCACTGCCTCCGCCCACCACTGCCTCCGCCCACCACTGCCTCCGCCCACCACTGCCTCCGCCCACCACTGCCTCCGCCCACCACTGCCTCCGCCCACCACTGCCTCCGCCCACCACTGCCTCCGCCCACCACTGCCTCCGCCCACCACTGCCTCCGCCCACCACTGCCTCCGCCCACCACTGCCTCCGCCCACCACTGCCTCCGCCCACCACTGCCTCCGCCCACCACTGCCTCCGCCCACCACTGCCTCCGCCCACCACTGCCTCCGCCCACCACTGCCTCCGCCCACCACTGCCTCCGCCCACCACTGCCTCCGCCCACCACTGCCTCCGCCCACCACTGCCTCCGCCCACCACTGCCTCCGCCCACCACTGCCTCCGCCCACCACTGCCTCCGCCCACCACTGCCTCCGCCCACCACTGCCTCCGCCCACCATCTCACTCTCTTGCTTCTCTCCTCCACCTAACCCCCCCTCTCCCACTTCCTTCCACCTCCTCACCCTCTCTCCCAGGCGCATGCAGCGTGCCGCCCGCCACGACCTGGAGCCATTCGCCTCACTACTGCTGCACCGTCTCAACCCCGTTCCTCTCTCCACCGCCTATCCGACTTGGGTGTGCCCACTTCCACCCACCCACTCCGTCCCTCCCAGGCGCATGCAGCGTGCCGCCACGACCTGGAGCCATTCGCCTCACTACATCTGCTCGTGCGTGGTGATGGCCGCACCTACCTCTCCACTGTACGCCCTCCCTTTCCCACCTTCCCCTCCCCCTCCCCCTCCCCCTCCCATTTCCACTCCCCGTGGCCCCTCCCCTTCCCATCCCCCTCCCCATCCCCCTCCTTCTCCCTCTCCCCCTCCTCGTCCCCCTTCTAGCCCAGTCGCACCTACCTATCCCCAGTATCCCCTCCCGCTCTCCGCATTCTCATGCTGCACTGCACCACTCTGCATCTCTCTGCCCTGCTCTCATCTTGCTTTTGAGACCTATTACTCATTCCTTTGCACTTTCCGGGTTGCTCGCACATCCTTGTCTCGTCTCGCCGGCCCTTTCCTTTTCTGTTTGTTTGAAGAGAACGTTCACACATACCTTTTGAGGTCAAACGCCTCAAAACACCTCAAGAGTCCTTCCATGAGTGTGATGAGAACGTTCCATGAGTGTGATGAGAACGTTCACAAATACCTTCCCCTCAAAAGTCCTTCCATGTTCGCAGACGTCACCTTCTCTTTCTCGTCTCTCTTGCTTTCTGTCCCCCTCCCCTTTCATCTACCCTCCTCCCCCCTTCTCCCCACTCTGTCAGGCTTACACGTCCTTACCTCTTTCCCTTCTCTCCCCTCTTTTTCTCCTCTCCCTCCCTCTCAGCTGCGCACTGAGAGGTGAGTGGGGGGGCCAGCAGGCAGCGAGGAGAACACATGGCAGGGTGGGGATGTGCAACCTTATAGCTCTCTCTCCCCGCCCCTCTCCCCCTCTCTGCCCTGTCCTCCCTGCTCCTCACGTCTCCTCCCTTCTCCTGCCCTACTTCTCCCCTCTCCCTATCAGCTGCGCACCGAAGGGTGGGTGGGCGGGCCAGCGGGCAGTGAGGAGAACACATGGCAGGCGTTCCTGCCCTCGCCACGAGGGCGGTGGGGAGTGGTGCAGGTGAGAGGAGAAGGGGTGAAGAGTGGTGCAAATGAGAAGCTGTAGTCTCGTCTCCCCACTCCACTCCACACATCTCAGCCAGCGGGCAGTGAGGAGAACACATGGCAGGCGTTCCTGCCCTCGCCTCGAGGGCGGTGGGGAGTGGTGCAGGTGAGAGGAGAAGGGGTGAAGAGTGGTGTAGGTGATAGTCAGGATCCCATCGCTCCCCCCGCAGAGGGCTGTACTTTCTTACACGCATCTCAGAGGGCAGGCAGTGAGGAGAACACCTGACGTGGAAGGTCAGGGTGGCGAGGAGAAGCGTCAAGGGGGCTGCTCAATCAACCTCTTCTCTCTCTCCCGCTTTCCTCCCCTGATTCAAGATGTTTCGTTTCCCCCTCCCCCCTCCTCCCTTCCCTCCCCCTCCTCCCCTCTCTTCCAGACCTGGAAAGGCGGGGTGATGGAGTAGGGCGTCAGGTATTTCTATCCATCCCCCTCTTCCCTTCTCCTCCCACTCACAGATTTCCCTTGCCAGTTACCACCTTACATGGAAGGGCAGGGTGGTAGGGTAATGCATAAAATATTTCTCTTCTTCCCCCTCTTTCCATCCTTCCCTCTCCCCTCTCCCTCCCTTCCCACAGATTCCCCTGGCCAGCTACCGCCTTACATGGAAAGGCAGGGTGGTGGGCGGCGGTGGGGGAGGAAGAGAGGGAGGAGGGGGCAGTGGTGATGGAGGGATGGAGATGAATGCGCGGAGAGTGGTGGGCATGGGGATATCAGTCAACATCAGCACCCCTCCCATGCACTCTCCGCATCTCAGTGCCACTGCCCCGCTCACACATCCTCCTCACATTGCTCCAGCCACTCCTGGTGGTGATACTGCTGCGGCGGGCGGTGATTTTTGTCCTGATGGTGCTGACGTGGAGTCTGATGCGTTTCCAGTGCATGGCGAGGGCCCGTTTAGACTGGAGGTTGCGTGGGTCAAGGCTGTCAGGGATGGTGCTTGATGCGATAGGGATGGTGCTTGATGCGATAAATACAGAGGAAATTCCAAGCGCGTACCTAGTACCTACCGTACAAACGTTTTCTAGCACTGTGGATGGAACACTGCAAGATGGCAAAAGACAGCTAGGCAAGGCAATCCTTGGAATGATAATAGCAGAGTTGGCACTGATGTACTACGGTATTGTAACTTCCGGAAACATGCTACGGTACCGTGCAGCTTATAGTTGAAGTGCATCACAATCGTTGGGAAACTGGACCTCCACCTCAACAACTGCGGGGATTATGCCTGTGTGATTGCTTTGCTTATTGGCAAGTAGGTCTATTGGCAAGTACCGTATCGCCCCGGATATAGGCGCCGTCCGATTATAGGCGCTGGCGCCTCTATCTGGAGCATGGCGCTTATGGCCGGACCTCGATTAGAAGCGCCCCCCCTGAGATTTGTGTACTTATTATAAGCGCCACCATTCGACTACTTAGTTAGTTTTACATTGAAATCACATTCATAACAATATCATGACAGCAGCTACAACATCAGAGACCTGAAACAGCAGGTCTAGCAACACTAATTCTAGCTAACTAGTTAGTCTTCGTCAGATTCGGGCTCCTGGCAGTTGTTGCCAAAAAACCCATCAGCAATGATGTCATCGTCGACGTCCACTTCCGCCGTCAGCTGGCTCCGCCTGTGCGCCATGGCGAGGCCGTCCTCACTGCCGTCGAGCGCGTTGCTGATGCCACAGGTGAGGAAGGCACGCTTTATTAGCTCGGCAGGCACTGACTTCCAGGCCTGAGATATCCACCTCAGGACGACCTCCGGAGGAGGCTTCTTCAAGTTCCCTGAAAATAACGGGAGAACGATGGAATCCCGTTAATCCTAAAAAACATACGGTAAGCAAAAGGAAGGGGGGTTGAAACACAACAACGCGCTCATTCCATACCTGCTGTCGTCAGCTGCTCTTGCCCTTCTGCCTCAAACCACCGCTGGTACTGCTGGCGGACCGACGCTTTGAAGCTCTTGTTGATGGAGACATCCAGGGGCTGAACCTCCGCCGTACAGCCCGACGGGATGATTGCCGGCACGCAGTTCATCTCGCGAAGCTTGTCCTTCACTTCCTGGGTGAGGTGACCGCGGTAAGAGTCGAGCACCAGCATCGAGCTCTTGGCGCATCTACCGAACCTGGGCTTCAAGAAGGGCTTGACGCCCTCCTCAAGCCAGCGGACGACACCCGCGGAGTCCATCCACCCGTTCTCGTGTGCAGCCACGACCACATCTGCAGGAAACAAGAGAAGCAGTTAGAATTCGCAGTCCGTGGTAAACCGCAGTTAACGAGCAGTGCACCAATTGACGTACCGGGTGGGAAATTGCCCTTTGGCACGGTCTTGCGCTTGAAGTACACCCACGGCTTCAGCTTCCGTCCGTCTGCCGTACACGCCAACATCACCGTCACACGCTGCTTCTGATACCCCGCGCTCCTGATAGGCACCGAGCGAACACCCGATTCATCCACGGTGGTGGTGGCGGGCATCTCCAGCCAGAGCGGCGTCTGGTCCGCGTTGATGATCCACGCGGTGTCGATGCCGCGCTCACGACGCATGCCACGCACGAACTTCCAGAAGCTTCTGCACTGCTCCGCGACATCTGAAGGGAGGTGGAAGGCAGGACGGTCACAGATGGCGGGTGTTAGTACCGGTAAAACAAGTAAACATTAACAAATTACATAGGGTAACTCTTACGCGACTGGGTTTTCTGGGCAACCCGGGTCTTCATGCGGACACTCAGGTTCCATCGTCGCCGAAAGCGCTCCGACCACCTCTGGCTCCCTTTCCAGGGCTTGTCCGGGTACAGCAGCTTCATGTATTCCCGCGACCACTCCTGCAGGCGGCCGACTGATACGGCGGTTCCCTTGCGGCGCCACTCGAGAAGCTTCTCGTACACTTTCAACTCCATAGGCCGATACCACGATGCCCGACCGCGGCCGTGCATGCGTTTCCGAGCGGAGTGCACGTCTTTGAGGAACTCCGCCGCCCGCTTCCAGTTTGTGAGGCACTTGGGGTGGATTCCGCTCTCGCGAGCCAAAGCGCGCACCGACGTTGCCACAGCAAGCCTGGCAACCCACTTCAACTTCTCCGCGGCGGTGTAACCTTGCCTCTTGTGCTCAGTGAGCTTGTGCCTGGGAGAGGGGGGGCGGGCATCACGGTTCTGGGAAGAGGGGTGGGGTCGCTTGCGATTCATCGGGGGATAGGAAGGTATCGGCAGGGACTCGGGAAGCCCGTCGCGTGACCAGTACTCCACGCCGTCATCGGCATCGTCGCCGGGAACGCCTTCGGGAAAAACATCTTCAGCGGAGCCGCCCTCGGCGCCGCCCCCGACGTTCGCTTCCGTGCCATACTCGCCGCCGACAGTGCCGCTCGCTTCCTCTTCGTCAGCGTCAGCTTCGGCTTCAACATCATCGTCGGCGCCGACTTGCGATTCGTCCCACGGGCAGTCGTCTGGCTGTCCCCACCGTGAACCAGGAACGTGCTCCACTTCCACCCACTCATCTTGCGGCTTATTAGACTCGGGTTCGGAGAGGTACTCGTCAAACGACGATGGGAGCAGCAGCGTCAGCACGGGCGTTGATCCAGCGTGTAGCGGAAGCGCAGCACTATGCGAGCACGGAGGAGTCGGAGGAACAGGAGGCTCAGGAGGTGCAGGAGGCGAAGGAGGAGCAGGAGGCGCAGGAGGCGCAGGAGGCTGTGGTGGCTTAGGTGGAGATGGTGGGACGCGGGAGTACCACCCGTCTTCGTCTACTCTAAACGCGGGCCTCCGTGGAGGCTTCTTCTTGAACAAGAAGTGAACCCCGGTGAAATCCGCCATAGCTTCCGCAGCATGGCGGGAGAGATCAAGAACAAGAACGAAAAACTGAAACAAAGAATGAACAAATGAAGGATTCAAAGGGACCCCTTCTGGCTAGCGCCACGGGGTCCTCGTCGAGGAGAGACGGGTGTCCCCTGTCTGAACCCGGAGAGGAGGGTGTAGCGCCACGCACGATGCTGCGCTGGCAGGGCATGATGGCCGCTTCTAGATGGTTCGGGTGAGGATTCTGCTGCCACCCAGCACACGAAAGCCTGATTGGGCCGCTAGGCAAGTTTCGCATCAGCGCTGGCAGGTGAGCTGCTCCTGGACGGGCTTTGTGCGGTTGGAAACCGAAGCGCGTCGGTTTTCGGCGTGTTTCCATGCATGATGCCATGCGCACGTTACACAGTCTTGTTCGCCTTAATACGGGCTTCGATTTGAGGCCTAAATTATGCAAATTCATTTTTACCATTATATAAGCGCCGGCGCTTATGGCCATTATTCAATTACAAGCGCCACCCTTAAAAAAATCGATTTTATTATAAGCGCCATGGCGCTTATATCCGGGGCGATACGGTAGGTCTACTGTATTGGATGGCAAGTCTATTAGCAGGTAGGTCTATTGGCAGGTAAGTATATTCACTGGTACCGTAACTCTATTGGCTGGTAGGTCTATTGGCTAGTAGGTCTATTTGGCTGGCAGGTCTAGTGGCTGGCACGTCTATTTTGTTAAAATAGCTTCATAACTTTGAAAAAGGAGCCTAGGGTTTGGGCTAGGCAAGAGAGTGTCGAGAGAATTGACCAAGCAAAAGATGGATTCACTAAAGGGCCAAAGGCCCAAGTTATACAAGAAACAAGCAGGAAAAGGTGCACCGCAAGCAAGAAACCATATAACTACACTACAACTAGAACTACATGCAGTTATACAGAAATAAATATAAAATATATTCTGACAAACCCCCTAACTGCATGCAGGGATAGCCATGTGCAGAACACCACCTGCAGGGGTACACCAAGCAAAATAAAGCAGCAGAAGAAGCAGCAACAGGCAAGAGCAGTGGCAACCAGTGCACCGGTGGCAGATACAGCTGTAGCAAACCCTCAGCAAAGTCAAAAACAACAGTAGTGGGTGCATGTGGCGGCAGGTCGCCTGGAGAGCAGGTGCGTGCGGCGGCAACGTGCGGCGGCACAGCAGGGCTCAACGGCAGCACCTGCCACTCAACAGCAGCACGCAGCAGCAGCAAGAGGAGGTGGCGGCAGGGGCGATAGCAGGAGGTGCCGCGGTAGCAGCGGGCGGCAGCTGCAGATGCCTGGCTGACTTCCGCCGCCCTCTCTTACCTTCCCCCCCACAGCGGCACGCGCGTCAGTGAGAGAGAGAGGAGGGGCGGTGCTGGCTTGGCAGAATCTCTCTTGCCACCCCCTCACCCTTCCCCTCCCCCCCCACTGGCACACGAGCAGCAGTGAGAGAGAGGGGAGGGACGGCTCCTGGCTGGTCACACTCGCCGACGGCGGCAGCAAGAGCTGCGTCACCCACACACCCTTCCCCCCCCCCCCCCCCCCCCCCCCCCCCCCCTTTATCACTGCCGTACGAGGAGGTGCAGGGCAGAGGAGCAGCGCTGCTGCGCGCGGCCGTACACGGCTGCGCACGGCTATGCACAGCTGGACGCGACCGTACGTAGCTGCGCGCGGCTGCGCGTGGCTCCGACTGCTCGTAACGGGACGGGGAGCGGGGCAGTGCGGAATGGGGCGGGTAGAGGGGGGGGGGTGACGGGGCGACGGAGCAACGAGGCAGCGCGAGCCGCCCAGCTCGTCGCCATGAGAGCAGGGTCGATGCAGTACGACGGGCAGGAGACAGGCATGTTACAGGAATCAGCAGACAGCTCGCCGTCGCGACCGTCACATCAGTCGCAACTGAGGGCGCGACGGGCACCACGAAACGAGGAATATGCGGTGGGCCCATGGGGTGATTAAAAAGTAACAGGCCATGATCTTACGTGCTCTGATAGCATGTTAAACTAGCAAGGGTTTGGGCTAGGCAAGAGAGTGTCGAGAGAATTGACCAAGCAAAAGAGGGCTTCATAAAAGGGCCAAAGGCCCAAGTTATACAAGAAACAAGCAGGAAAAGGTGCACCACAAGCAGGAAACCATATAACTACACTACAGCTAGAA